CAGGGCTCATCGAAAGGCGGAGTAAATGTCCTTCCAGTGACCTGGAGCCCTGTGGAGGAGGCAGGAAAGACACCCAGAGGGTGAGAAGGTGGCGGTTACTCTCCCATTTGACTCCGTGTGTGCGTTCTTCCTGAAGCCGTGAGGCCAGACTTGGCAGCCGCGAGGCATCCGGAGCCCTCGTGCATGGGGAGGATGCTCGCCTGGCTCAGGAGCCCTCCGTAAATGTGAAGTCGCCTCAGAATGAAAACAAAGGTCAAAGGCCAAGCGGGTGAGGCGGCTCGGTGGTGGAGACACTGGCTGCGGAGTCCGATGGCCTGAGTTCAGTGTTTGGGCACCGTGTGGCAGAAGGCAGAACTGAGTCCTGACGGTTAGAAGCCTCATGGTCATCACTCATGCCGGGTCCCGTTAAGTTGAATACCCTGTGGGCTGGTCAAACTAAAAGTATATTAAATGAGCTTCCCGTTCCTTTCCTTTTCCTTTTTTTGAACGACAGTATTAGGAGGTCTGTGTCACATGCGTGGCTCGTGTGGCCTTCTTATTGGCTGGCACTGATCCGCAAGCCTGAACAAAAGTGACGAAGAAAACAGACTCTGCCACCCGGGGCCTGGTTCTGATCCCCACCCCACCCCCGAGTGTCACCTGGGCCAGTGGCAGACCTACTGGGAGCCTTGGTCTCCCTATCTGTGCAGTGGGGAGCCTACCTTGAGGGGAGCCAGTGTGGCTGGATATGTGCAATGTCTTATCTCCACTGGATGCACAGCTGCGTGCTGCAGAACATTTCATCAACAGAGAGGCACAAATAAAACCTAGTCCCGTAAGATCAGAAATGAAAGCATCCTGCTGGCCAAGGACACGGCGGCATCCCCAATACCAAGAGTCCTCCGTGTGTCTGTCAGGGCGCTGTGTGAAAACACTGGCCCGTCCAGCCATCAGGTGAAACACAGCAAGGTCACGGGGCACACAGAGCACTGGAGGCCGGCAGAAGCGTGGATGCACTTCTTATTCTGAAGCCTACTCCGTGTAAGAAAGTTTACAGTAAAATGAGCATTTGGTGAAACAGCATCTTCCCTGCATGTCCTGCTAACTGAATCTCTTGATTTCACAGGAGGCTGAGATCCGTGACCTCCACCCTGCCGACTCACACAGAGCACAGAGGCTCTGCAGGATGTCTCCTCCCAGCACAGGTCTAAGATCACAATCCCAGTGCTGGCTGACCTGTGACAGTATCGGGGCCCTTCTCGTGCGCGGCTGGACTTACTGGAGTACCCCTTCACACTGGCAGGAGGCTGAGGGCCCCCCTGGAGTCTGTCTCCAGGACCACGGCCTCCAGGCTGGCTCAGGGGCCCCAGATGGGCCCATTATAAAATAGTGAGGTAACTAAAACCTTTTTCACCCCCATGGGCACCTCTGGCTTAGACCCTGCTCTTGAGACCTCTGTGCCAACGTCTGTCTTAGCTACTTTTCAAATCCATGAGCAATGCAACTTATAAGAGAAAGCATTTGTTGGGGCCGTGGTTATATAGGGTTAGAGTCCATGACCATGAAGGCAGGAAGCATGGCGGCAGGCAGGCAGGCAGGCATGGCGGTGGAGCAGTAACTGTGATCTCACATCCGGGTCCGCACGTGGGAGGCAGAGAGGCAGCAAACTGGGTATCACACCAAACTGCTTTTTCCTAATTTTGTGACGATTTATTTGTTTTACTTTGTGTGTGTATGACTGTTTTGCCTGTGTGCACGTATGTGCACCACCACATGTGTGCCCGTTGAACCCCCTGAAACTGGCATCATAGTTGGTGGCAAGTGGGTGCTAAGAATCAAACCCGAGTCCTCTGAAAGAGCAATAAACTGCTGCTGACTCATATCTGCAGCACCCCTGTCGTGGGCTTTTGAAAGCTCAGAGGCCACCCCCAGTGACGTATCTCCTCCAATAAGGACACACACCTCCCCTGGTAACCAGGGGTTCAAACAGAAGAGCCTGTGGGGGCCATTCACATTCCAACCACCACAACTACCCCATGTCCCTCACCCCACCACCTGCTCACTGCACCATGAGGACGAGCAGGAACAGCTGAGAGGGGTAGGACCCTAGACCTGGCCAGTGTCCCCAGCCCTCTGCCCCATTTCAGTTCACGCTTTTCTTTACCTTGCTGGGCTCCGAGAAGGCACAACCTCATGAGAGTCTCACCTTTCCCCTGCCTGGCCTGGCTCCGGGAGTTTCAGATGGCCTCTTTGGCCATCAGGACGATGAGCTACAAATTAGATGGCCTCAATCGGGCATTCCTGAAGGCTGGGAACACCAGTCACCCATCCTGCTGCAGAGGCAAAAGCACACTGGCCATTTCCCGGGGAGGGGAGGTCCGCTGATCTCCCTGCACCCTGGAGGGGTGGCACCCCAAGACGAGGCTTTCCAGGGAGTGGAAGCTTGTAGAAGAGCCCAGGTACACAATTCGCTACCTGCTGGCCATAACCCAGACCACACATGGCAGAAGGGGGAGAGGGAGAGAAAGAGAGAGAGAGAGAGAGAGAGAGAGAGAGAGAGAGAGAGAGAGAGAGAGAAAACCAGGCCCCGCCGCTCCCCCTCACTGTGCTCTCTGTGTGCTCCTGGGAACAACTGTTTCCCTCTCTCAGACTCCAAGCCTAGAAGTAGCACATCCCAGGACAAGGTGAGCATTCACACCAGCTAGAGTGGTGGTTCTCAACCTGTGGGTCACGACCCCTTGGGAGGGGTCGAACGACGCTTTCACGGGGGCTGCATATCAGATACTTACATTACAATCCATAACAGCAGCAAAATCACAGTTATGAAGTAGCAACGAAATAATTTTATGGTTGGGGGTCACCCCACCACGACATGAGGAACTATGTGAAAGGGTCGCAGCGTCAGGAAGGTTGAGAGCCACTGGGCAGCTCAGCACAAACGCCTGTCATACCTCTGCAGGCTCCAGTGTCCCCTTCTGAGGCCAGGACAGCAGTGACACCTCCTCCACGCCACAGTTGAGAATGCAAACGTTACGTTTATAATGAGCTTTGACACTCTAATGGATGGTCCCATCCGCAGGGGCCGGGCACCCCAGCTGTGGGGTCAGCCAGCGCAGGCTCACAGTGCACGTGGGTTTCTCCCACCTGGTCTGATTTCACGCCAGGGCTTAACTGGCTTATAAACACCCCCTGTGCACAGCCGTGAGTGCTAGCGACCCCACCCCTGGGGGCCACTTACTGTTCTGTGCATTCTGATTGCTATCCAACCGAGCACCTGTGTGTGTGTATGTGTGCCCGTGCATGTGTGTATGTGTGTCCATGCATGTGTGCACACACGTATGTGTGTTATTGTTGTTGCCAATGTTTTTCCCAGAACCAGTCCACATCAGATCTCAATTTCCATCTTAGTTTATTTTCTTTCCACTGCTGGAAAAAGAACACACACATGTACACACCGTACTAATACATACACATACACATACATGTGTACACACACATATGCACATATACACATACACGCATACACACACACACCCATATACATCACACACACACACACACACACACACACACACACACACACACACACACACACACCTCCACACTCATGCACTCACTCACTCACGGAACGATGTCTTCCAACCCTCTGCAACGTCCAGGAGCTCTGCTCCCAAGCGCCCCCTCTTGGAGAACACCCCGCGGACTCTGCAAATCACCAAGCTTGCTGTGCGCCCCTGGCCTTCGGTGGCCCTGTGCTGAGCAACGAAGACATGCACCCTGGATAAGTGCATAAGAGAATGGGGAGATGAGGTCCTTCCCTGACCGGTCCTTGCCGTGTGACCTCAGACGAGAGACATCAACTTCATCTTCTGAGCCCGTGAGAAAACGCCTGTGAAACCCCAACCACCCGCAGAAGCTCATGGAACGGCAGCCATGTTCAGGGCTGTCTCAGCAACGCAACCGCTAGCCCTGGCCCCTGCTTCTGCCCCAGACCTCGGGGAAGCCAGTGCATGTAGCATCAGGGATCTGGTCCTGGCTGGGAGCCTCCCCTGGCTTCCCCACACCCCCTTCTCCTTAAGCTCCCCCCGCGCCCTCCCCCCGCCCCATTGTTCCAAGACTAATTTATTTATTTTTCTTCTGAACCCTCAAAGTCCATCAAGCTGTGGAGTGGTCGGATGGATTTTTTAATTAATTGAAGCGGAATCGATGAAAAAGTGATTGTGTTGGGCCCGGCTGGCAGTGGGAAATTAATGGGTGTCCGGTGGGGGAGGGGCGGCCGTATTGAGCTGCGGCTGGGCTGTGGGTACCTGGAGGCCAGTAACTGTCACTGGGGGGGGGGGGGCAGGGAAGACGAGGGCAAGGTGACCACCATCCCACCCTGACACCAGCAGATCTGAGTCCAGGCTCCGGGTCCTTCGCTCATCCACGGTGGCGCATGCTCCCACAAGCCGGCCTGGGTGCTCTCGGAGCTTCCCGCCTCCTGGTGAGGCTGGGAGGATGTTAAGGCTCTCACAAGGGCTGCAAGCGGCCGGCCCTAGAGCACTTGGTATAGAGGGAAACAGACCAGAATGCAAAAGCACAAATACCCAGTGGCTCTGCCTACCAGAGTCAAGGTCACGCGGTGGAGAAGTTCCCAGAAGCTGCGCACATCTTGTGTGTCTCGTCTGAGGTCACGCGGAAAGGACCGGTCAGGGAAGGACCTCACCTCCCCATTCTCTTATGCACTTATCCAGGGTGCATGTCTTCATTGCTCAGCACAGGGCCACTGAAGGCCAGGGGCACACAGCAATGGTAGCAGATGGTAAGACTTTCTGGTTAGGGCAATGTTCTGGAAGGGAAGGTTCTGGAAATCGGTAACACTGGCAAGACCTTGGCCACGCACCTAAAGAAACTGAACTGAACATCCAAAAATGAGTAAAACGGTGAGTTTTCTGTCACATACCCTTGACTAAAAAAAAAAAAAAAAATACAACCTACGCTGTTACAATCTTTAATGAAGACATTCCCCAAATTATCTGGGAGCAGCATTCACAGCTAGGACCCAGGTCCCTCCCACCCCAGGTGCTTACTTCTGTGCCACAAGGCTTTGTGACTCCTCCCTCCCAGAGCGCGGTGTGGCCTCTCAGACTAGAGTCTTAGTCTGGCCTGTGGACATGACTTGTTTCCACAAAGTAGGTGATATCAAAAGACACGGACGTGTTCCCATTCCGGTGATCTGGAGTTCAGGGTGAGTCTCGTGGGGCTAAGGCGCCAGGTCCACAGAGCTGGCTTCCTTAGCTCGTGGCTCCTTACTTGTGTTCCGAGTGATCTCTGCCACCGCTGTCACGGACCTTCTCTCCTGTGGACCCATCCAACGTAGGAAGGCACCTGCCACTGCGTCTGTGGGGGACGCTATATCTAGGATCAGCTTCTATCCTGAGAGCGGTTATGTACGGAAAAAGTTCCTTTTGCCATAGAAAGGAATGTGTGCACAAGTTCCTGGGTGTAGGGCACAGACACCTCTGGGAAAAATGGAGGGGACATGATCCAGGTCACAGCAGCCATGGAGACTTGAACAGTTGAGGAAGGAAGAGCAGCTGGAGCCACACTGGGCCCTGGAACCTGCCTCTGGTTGTGTGGATCTCTCCCATAGCCAATAGTGCCCACTCTAGCCAGCCTGCTGTGTGACAGGGACACCGTCACTCCCATACCCCAGCCAACAGCCAGATGACCCCAAGTGTCAATCCTTCCTGCTTGCCAGGCCCTGATGGTCAACGCTGTGAGAAGAGCCACACAGCTGAGCCCAGCCCAGCTGCATCCTGAAGAAGGAACCACTAAATTCCATGGGGTTCATTACAGTGCAAAAGCCGAGTTCCCAGGCAACCCCTGGGAAGGGGAGAATCAGTCACTATACACCTACGGGGTACATAACATACTTCACACGTGACCTCACTGAACCCTCACGAATCTCACACCAGCATTCACTGCCACCAGACTACAGATGAGGAAACTGAGCTTCGGTGAGTAGACATCACTGGTTTGAGGTCGCAGGACTTGGAGTTGGCAGATTCTGATATCCATGCCAAGTCTACTGACCCCAAAAGCTCTGTCTCCCCAGCCCAGCCTGCTGGAAATAAGGCCAAGCCAGTGTCTCTCCCAGCTGATCTACTCCGCTCTACTTTCTCTTCTGAGGTCCTACCAGGTCCACCACCCACCTGCCGCCCAGGCTCCACCCACCTGCTGACCAGCTCCACCCATCTGCCTCCTGGCTCCACCCACCTTCTGCCCGACTCCACCCACCTCCCTCCAAGCTCCACCCACTTTCGTCCCAGCTCCACCCACCTGGTGCCCAGCCATCACTGATGGAAGCAACATGAGAGGCTGAGTCAAGATCTGCCTCTTTGTGGCTATGTGACCTTGGGCAAGTCAATTCACCTCTCTGAGCCTCTCTGCATCTTCCACAGTGAGAAGGGAGTGTACAGATGTGCTGAACACAACAGGAAGAAGAGGGAATTCTGGGATACCAGAGTCCTCAGCTCTACCTTCTCTGACTCTTCAAATCTCCTGTCTCCAGCCCTCACTCACCTTTCTGCCTCCCTAGCTGATGAATCCAGAACCGTGTTTCATCAGTCTGCAGTTCTGTTGTTTGAGGACTAATCCTGCCCCTTGTGGCCAAGAGGACTTCACCCTGGGCATCACAGCAAACGCACCCAGTGCTCCGAGGATTTGATCACGGGAGAATGATGTCATTTGTCAGCAGCGATGTCCCTGCCCACAGCCTGATACATTTGCATTCGGAGCTGGAGACAGAAAGACCGGTAAAAAGCCGGAGAGGGAAAGGGGGCTGCCTCCGAGTGACTGGCATGAATTATTTCGACCTAACTTACTAATTAAGACCCTCATTAGCAGCCCAAATTTGTGATAGATAGGCAGAGGACTTGGCACAATGGTTTAATTTAATGATTCCTTGCATTTACTTTGTTAATCATCTTTAGTCTGATTTAATTTATGCCGATGTGACTGTCCTCATTTCTAATTAAGGCATTGATGGTGGGGACGCCGCCATCGCAGAAGAATTTCAATCAAGCCTCATACAAAAGCAGATACCAGCGCTTACGACCTCCGAGATGGCAATTTGCAAAGCCGGCTGCTTGTTGTTTTATTTCTGCCTGAAAGGTTGGGGAGGGTCTGGTCTTTGCCTGGGGCAGATGGTTCTCACTAACCACAGACCTTTATAATCATTTTTTTTAAAGGCTCTGAAAAGCTCTTAGCGCTTAAGTAGATCTCTCCTAGATTCGCACACAAGGGAGCAGGGTTCAGAGAGGCTGAGAGGCTGGCAGAAGGTCACACAGCAAGTTAGCAAGCCTGGGAGGTGACCCTTTAGAAACACTCCCCCCTCCAACACACAAACCCCATGACCACCCACATGGCAGACACCATCCAACACACACACACACACACACACACACACACACACACACACACACACACACAACTCCTGGTAGCTTCTGGAAACTTTGTACCTGCCTGGAATCTGGTGCCACAACTTTCAACTGGGTATGAATTCCATCCTCCCCAGTACATGAGGCAGGCTACTAGACGTGGCCCCACCCTGCCAATCAGGGACACGGATTCCAGGAAGCAGAAAGCCCTCTTGGATTCTCCCAGCAGAGAGGCGAAGTTTCAGCCCAGACCCACGTGACTCCAAAGTCCACGTTCTTCTATCAACCCACCCTCCTCACTGGCCACCTCTGCACGCTGGCAGGGTTGGCACAGCTGCTATGGCCGGTAGGCACCAGGACTCAGTGAGGCGGCTCATGGGACAACCACCCCGTCCTGTGCAGAAGGCCTCCAGTCACAGCCCAGGAAGGTGGGGACCAGAGAAATCATGTGAAGTGCCCAACGTGGCACAACCCGATGACGGTGGTCCAGCTTGGGCCCTCGCCTGACTGCCACTTTCTAACTCCAACACTCCCCACCCCACCATTCCTGGGCTCACCTGTGTTGCAGGGTCCACCCCTCCCCCTCACCTCCCACCCTCCTCCTGGAACTCACCTGTGGACTCCACTGATGGCAAAGACAGCCTGTGGCAAGGAGCTGGGATCCAGAGTTCCCGTTTGCCATGGATTGGCCACTCACACCCATCTATCTACAAATCTCATCTCTTCTCTGGGCCTCAGTTTCCCTGGCTATAAAGTATAGAGACTGGAAAAACTATCTTCCAACACGGCTGCCCATTGGCATGGCCAAGACTTAAAAAATAAATAACTAAGCCGGGTGGCAGTGACACAACCCTTTAATCCCAGCACTCAGGAGGCAGAGGCAGGCGGATCTCTGAGTTCGAGGCCAGCCTGGTCTACAGAGCAAGATCTAGGGCAGGCACCAAGACTACACGGAGAGACCCTGTCTCGAAAAACCAAAAAATAAACAAACAAATAAATAAATTTTTGGTTTTATTCTTCTAACATTATTCCATCCACCAGCAGATGGAGAAGCCGAGAACCAGAGAGGCTTGTGAGCTGCCTAAGGACACACAGCAACAGAGCCAGCATGGGGACTGTCCTTGCTTCCTATCTCCTGCTCTCCCAGCGTCTACTCTATCAGTCTGTCCTGTCAGCTCGACCTCCATGAAGTCCTGAGGCATCATGTTTCTCCTCCCTGATGTCACACCCTTAATGACCACAGCTGCCTCCTTCCTGATTCCCGTCAGTCGCCAGGTCGGAATTCCAGGCTCCACAGCACCATAGCACACTTGCTAAGTGGGGGATGGGCCCAGCTGCCTCTCCTGAGGCCAGGCCTACAGAATAAGCCAGAAGCCCCTCCCCGGGGCCTGGCCCGTGCCGCCTATCCCTCCCTCCTGCATCTATCCCAGCATCCCACGCTCAGAAGCAATGCCCAGGCCTTCCCGGCCTTTCTCCTTCTTACCTCCTCCTCCCTGCCCATGCTGTCCCCTCACAGCGGCCCCCTCTCTGTCTCCCACTGGTCTGCCAGCTCGACAGAAGCAGTGGCCTCACCTGCCCAGTCACCACAGTGCCCCCCAGAGCAGCAGCACCCAGCATGTGTCATTGGTCCTTGTGAGAGAATAGGAAGTGGCCCTGACTGGAACTCCAGCCTCAGCGACACCTCAGAGGAGAAGCCACAGCCTGGGAACCTTGGACACACACAGTAGCCGGGCCCTTGTTGTAAAGAAATCTGAGCTCTGGGTTCCCCAGGACTCTCACCCTCAAGGCCACCGAAGGAACCAAAGCTCCCCTTCCCTGGTGCACCCCAGAAATCAATCCCAGGGAATTAAAAGGTTGCAGGGAAACACATCTGCTAACCTAACATTTATGTTAGTCAATATAGATTTATTTAATGCAATAAATGACATAATTGGACTTTTATCTCCAGAATATATTTTCCAAGAGAACTAATATTTGAGGGCCTGTGGTCTGCCGAAGGATTCCAAGGTCCATGTTTCCTGTGTTATTACTCTTGTGTGAGACTGACATTTAAACAGCTTAATAAATGAGCGGTTGTTTGACTTGTATCAGTTTCAATACATTGCAGGATATTAATAAAATGTATTTCATAAGCCAGCTCAATAGACCATGCCATAAAAAGCCAGTGATTTATGGCTGATACAGTCGCTATTAGTTGGGACAGATACTCAAAATGCCATTAGGGTTAAAATAATAATCAATCAAACTAATTAGGGCCTATTTTTCATATGCAAATATAATTAAGCATACATTTCTCTGTAACTTTAAGGAGAATTATTGAACCTCAGCCTGTGTGAAGAGCCTTCCCTGAGTTAACGAAGAGACCGTGGACAAGGTACATAAGTAACACAAGGGCCGACCATCCTGGGCTTTGAGATCACAGGGCGATGGGAGAGAAGAGCAGAGCTGAAGCAAAGAGCATCCAGACACCAGCTCCATTCGTCAGAGCTGACGGGGACAGTCAAGGCTCAGAGCGAGGATGCCAAACCCGGCCTGACGTCACAGGTGAGAAGACACACGCGGCTCGAACCCCAGTGTCTGCAGGCAGGCACACAAATGAAACATGGTGTGTGCAGAAGGGAGTCGCACAACCCCGAAGAAGAATGAAGCCACGTCATTTGCAGGAAGATAGAGCTGGACACCATCGTGTTAAGCTAAATAAGCCAGACTCAGACAGATACTGTATGCTTCTCTCAGATGCATAGTGGAAGCTAACTACAGATATCTGTGCTTATCTATGTATGCTATGTGAGAACAGAAGGGAGACCAGGGAGGCAGGAGGGGGCCAGTGTGGGGGACTCAGGACAAGAGAGTGTGATCATAGAAGAATGATCATAAAAACACATTTTTGTATACTAACTAAAAAAGGTAAATACATAGTATTATTTTTAAGTTAATGAACACAAATCCTACCTTTCACTGATAGGACAAAAAGCAGGCAAGCTTTTTTTTTGTCTCTGTGGCACAGGCCCATGTGTGGAAGGGGCTGCTGACCATGCTCCTCAGAGGTTCCTCTGAAGATACAAAGGGTGCCTGCTCCATGGAGAGCACTCAATTAACATTAGCTGGTTTTATCAAGGTAATATGTTGTTTGTCCACCTTCTCTGGAGGACTCCTCAGCCACTTCCTGGCTGAGCACCTGTGGGAAACCCTACTCCTGTTTCTGGTATCATGATTGGTGTCTGACCCGGGTCAGAGCTACCATGCAGAGGCTGAGGAAACATCTTCACTAGCCATCATTTGTCTTGATGTCTACTCAAAAATTCTTTGTGTGCCCCAAGCTCGGAGGCTGACTTGTCTGTGGAGACCAGTGTGGGCATCTCCTGGCACCGTCAGTTGCTTCTGAGGGATAGTTACAGAAAGGAGAAAATAATAAAACATTTCAAGCCCCACAAGCCAGATTGTGTCCCTTACAACTACTGTATTGGCTACATGAAAGTAGTCACTGGGTACCCTGACCCAGGAAGATGACATCAGCTAGCATATCACGCCAGGCACCCAGGTCCTGATCGTAACGAACCTCCATTACCATGGGGACAGTATAAACCTCCTGGTTAGACAAGTCTCTAGGGCAGCTCTCCTCTGAGAGCTATCAAGGACCCAGGCCCCCTCCACGTTGTGGCTCTTCCATTCCCCACTCAGAGCACCCTGTTCACAGGGCTTATCTAAACTAAGTCTGTGGAAGGTAAGGAGTGAGGAGACTCACACTTGGAAGGCAGGTGACCAGACCTGGAATGGAGCATAGCAAACCTTCATCATGGACTAGGACTTGTTCATAGCCATTCACAGGGGTCTTGGGACAGGGATCCATGCTATGTGCCCTGGAGAACCAGCAGGTTTTCAAAGGAGTTCAGAAACTGCAGGAGGACAACTGAGACAAGTCTGGGGGGACCGGGATGTCTCTCAGAGTCCATTCAGAATTCAGGCTTAAAGTCAGAATCCTCACATACGCTCCTGGGTGTGCCCCCCCAAGTCTCCTGGGGTTCCCATTCTCTATCCTACCAAAGTCTCCTTGTGTGGCTGCCTCTCCTCCCAGCAGCACATTTCAGTTTCCTGAAGACAGAGTCAGGTGTGTGACTGACTCACTGCTGTGTGTCTGTCCGCACAGGGGCCATGTGGCAAGTATGAGACAAAAAGTACAACTAATTAATTAATTGAAACATGAATACAAGTCATGAAGACTTGTGAACTGGGGCTTAAATCAGCAGCACGGGGGAAAAAAAGAGAGACAAATCGATGTGACAAGTCTCCGGTTCCATTGTCCAGGAAAAGTACACTGCTGGCTAGACCACATGCCCTGAAAGAGTGAGGAAGAAGGTGGGTGTGATATATGCACTCAGTTGTGCATTACACACGTGTGTGCTCATGCATGTATTGCACATGTGCACTGAACATTGGGTGGGTATGGATGTGTACATATATGTGTGCACTGAACATTGTGTGGGTATTAATGTGTACATACACGTGTGCATTTTTAAGTTGTGTCACGTGAGTTAGGCGTGTGCACATTTGTATGCTGTGCACACACACACACATTTGCACTGGTGTGGATTTGTGAGTTGCATCGTGGGTTGCATGTGTGCATGCTTGAGTGCCTATGTGCACACTCTGTGTGTCCTTGTGCACACCCATGCGTGCTGGCTTCTGCAGTCCTTTGTCTCAGGCTCAGCGATGGCTCGGTGTCTAACTTGCTCTGGATTTCCAGTGCTCTTTCTATCCCGGGCTGGGCCAAGAGGGGCTCTGGAGAAGAGAAGGGTAATTATGCCCAGTGGGCAGACAGCAAACTCAACATGTTCATGAAAGGCCGTGGGGCCTACAAGGGGCCCGTGTTGCCAGGAGCCAGGTTGGAGCCACGAGATAGATCTCCAGCCACAGAGAGCAGGAGGATGGGGACAGCCAGGGCCTCTGTGGCCACAGGCCTTTCTGGAAAAAAAAATCATTTTAAAATTAAATTAAATGCTATTAAATTAGCCATGTGCCAGGGGAACTGAGGAAGAGAGCCACTCAGACAAACAGCCTAAGCTAAGTCTTCTAAAACCACAGTGAAACTCAGGTGCCAGGGCTGTGGGGCTGAGTGCCTGGCCACACTGTTAATCTCAGTGTCCAGGGGGTTCCCGTGGCCGGGTGATATAAGCACAGGCTGGGAACACGGTGCTGATGACATTCTGCAGGTGGATGCTCAGGATCCTGTCCCACCAAAGCCCCCCGGGATAACTGAGACAGACCCTGCCAGCTGCTTCCTTCTGCCCCCGACCCCACAGGGCTGCCAGAGTCCCAAGGGGAAGTCCACTGTCTCTGGTACCCAAAGCAAGGGAGCTCCTGGATCCCAGACATAGAGCACAACCTACTGAGACAAGGAAGGGGATGGTGGCCTGGGCCCTGACCCTCTCCTGTGCCCTGTGACGCAGTTCCAGCTCATTAGAAGGACGGACACTGATAAGGGGTGGGGAGGAGGGCAGAAGGTGGTACAGGGAAGGCCAGCTCAAGCAGGACAGCCACGTTTGACCTGAGGCAGGAAGAGGGAAGGAGCCTTGACCCCAAGATGAGGAACAAGAGGATCCTGGGAATGGCCACGGGGGCGGGGGCGGGGGGGGGGGGGGGGTCAGGTTATGATCAGGACACAAACAGGGCTGCCGGAGAAAGCAGCTTCTCACAAGAGTGAGGGGGCGGTGACGGGGACAGAGGAACAAGAGAAAGGCCCCGTCTTCATCAGAACTTACGAGCGTTATCTGTTGAAGACCTCTGTGCCCCCAAGGACCACGCGCTGAAGACAGAGACTATGGCAGTCACCATGCAGGAGGGTAAGGACAGGCACTGTGGACATCTGGGGCCATCTGAGGCTTTGCGGAAGAGATTGCTCTGCGGGATGCCGAGTGAAGTATTGACCTCTACTGAAGTATTGAATCACCTCTTGTGACAAGAATATCTCAAAGGAGATGAAATTGCCCCAATGGAGAAGCGTGGGGAGAGGTGGCAATATATACCAATCATATATAACCTAGACTGGGTACTGGAGTTGGGTAGTATTCATGTTTAATGCCGTAATAACAGGAGGCGGGACATGCCTGGAGCAAGGGACCTGGTACACCCACAGCCAGAGGCATGTACCCCAGTTTCGGCTAACTCCACAGACAGTCATACCCCTCATTCCAGCAGAGAATGTTCTCATTATTGACACCCGAGTGGAAAGGTTGGGAACAGCCCGAGGGACACCTGGAAGGAGACTCCTGCCCCGTTACAGCTGCGTCCCAGCCACCTGCCCATGGGGCGCAGTAAAGGGTTAATAGGCAATGTTTATTTATGAACTTGGCGTATTATTGTAGTGTAATTTGAATACAGTGCCTATGAGGTTTATATTACCAGCTATAATTTCATTTTTAAAGCTTTCCTATGCCATCCTTTAAAAATGGTATCTCTAACAAGAAATAAATTCTGTTTGGAGCTGCGCTGACTATATTCACCCATGGGACGCACTATTTTGTCCTTGACACAAACCCCTAGGGATGCTGCTGAGAACTAGCAGCCGGCTCTCACGAGGAGGGATGCCCTTCCCAGGGACACCCCACAGTGCCCCGCACAGCCCAGAGGGGACTGAGAGAGGAGCAGACACCCAGCCTAAAGGTGGCCCAGCCCATCAGCATCTGCTTGGTGGGCTTGAAGGCCCCTGGGGCCACTCTAATCCTCAGTCTAAAAACCAAAAGGGGGGGAGGGGTGCATGGTAGGGGCGATACCAAGCAGAATGTTGTTGCCACCCCATCAAGAGTTGAGCCTCCCGCCTGTCTGCACACTCGAGCCTGGAATGGAATTTAGATAATTTCCCAGGCTGTGAAATGATGGAGCCACTGGTGTTTATCATTTTCAGCTTCTGTCCCCCTCTGAGTGAAAAGAAAATATCGCAGGGCTCATTGACTACAGCAATAGCTTACATGTGCCGAGCGCGCCCACCGAACCCGCTAAGTAAAGACGCAGCATGATCAAAATCCTCCCGAGTATATGCGTCCCCCATTCTGCACACAAGGAAACTGAGGCTAGGAAACGGGGCCCTCAGGGATGACACTCTGGGCCCTGCACCCCAAGGTGCCCCTCTGGTTGCCTGTCAGGTGAGCCCTGTTGCTACAACCTGGACCGTTTAGGAATTGGCCTGATTGGGGTGACAGGGAATGAGGGAATGAGGTGACACATGACAGAACAGCTGGGATCTGGTGGGCCAGGCACTCTGATGGAGAGGGGCCAGCGGCAGCCGGAAACTCAACATTCCTACTCAGATGAGGAAGGTCTTGCCATTCGTCTGAGCCTGTCCTGGGGAAGACCTTACCATCCCCACGGGTTTGAGGCACCAGGTATGGCCATGACTCATGTCAATAATACAATGTAGTAAGACACTCAGGACTTCACCTGGTCACCTCACCCTGTCAAAGGAACTAGCCCAGCTCTTGTGGCAGAAGTAGAAAGCACAGGGTGGGGCGGTGTGGAGAGCCAGCACCCCAGAGGAGAAAGATGGCCGGGGGATGGGTGCACAGGAGGAGCAGCCAAGTCCTCCCCACGACTAGCAGCTGCACCCAGTAAGACAGAAACACCCGCCTCCACGGCAGCTGGCCCGCATCATGAGGGCTGGGTCTGAGACTCTGAATTCTGGCTCTGGCCTGGCCAGAGAGCTTTTAGCTCTTGAGCTGTTCCCCATCCTTTAAATGGGCACAGTGCCCTCTCTGTTTCACAGCGGCTGCTAATTCCTGTAACTGGGCATCTATGACTTCCGCGTGTGTCTATTTTGGTTCCAAGAATGGCACCAACAAAAACACAGAGAGACAAATGCTGAAGCCAGGGGAAGAGACTGCGTGGCCACAGACTTAGAGAGCCCATGCTCAGGCCCTTGCCGGTCACGTCTGCATGCCTGTGAAACATGCTCCTTGGCTTCTTCTTCCAAATCCACGGGGTCTGCATCCAATAGTTACTATTAGATTAAAGACAATCCACGTAACTCTCAGTGTGCAGTGAGTGTTTGGCAAAATGGTTCTGTGGTCGTCACTGGGGACACCCAGGATGTAGGTCTATTGGCTGAAAAGAGTACGGGCCTTCAACTCCGCGAACACTGCCTACCTCCAGCTCTCCTAAGCAACTTGGACCCAATACCGTCTCCCCTGAAGGAAAGTTAGGTGGAAGAATGAATTACATAGCTGTTCAGTTTACCTCCCACAGCACAGTCATTGTCTGGTAGAGAGCATCCCTAAGCCAAGAGGAGAGTCTGCAAAGATGGACAGAGACACCCTGCTGGGACAGTCTGCAGGAACCAGTCTCACAGGATCCCAGGAGAACGAATGCAGCCTCATTTAAACAACCAAGTCTGGGGCCCATTTGTTACACAGCTTACTGTAGCTAGCTGAGACAAGCAGGTCCACCCCCACAGAGTGTGCATCCTCCCATTCATAGGTATGGCGTCTTTGTCCATTTTTATTGCTAGAACAGAATGCCACCACCGCCAACTGAGTCCAGAAGCTGGGAAATCCAAGATAGAGGTGATGGTGTCGGGGGAGAGCCCTCACCCTGTGACCTTGAGAAAGGGTGGGTGAGAGGCGGGGCAAGAGGAGATGGAACAGACAGCAAACCACCTCTGAGGTAACAACCCAGTCCCTTGGTAGCATCAACCCATCCATGAGAGCCCCCAGGACCCAGTCACCGGAAGCCCCGCCTCCCAACGCTGAACTCGAACTCAGTCCACAGAGCGGCTGCAGCTGGGCACTGTGCTGAGGATCTCGTCTGTTACTTTCTCACCTCTGTGACAAAATACCTGTCAGAAATGATGGAAGGGTGACTCCAGAGGGCTCCATCCTACAGGAAGGAGAGGTGTAGGGACTCCGTCACAGTGGCACACCCATTCACTTCACAGCCGCCGGGAGACCAGGAAATGTAGAGAGAGTTGAAACCAATCACCCACAGCAACCTACTTCCGGTAAGCAGCCACCCCCCACCTCCTCCTCAAGGCACCCCAGCCTCCGAAGCCAGCGCCACCAGCCGGAAATCAAGCCTCAAAGCATAAGCCTGAGGGGGCTTCAGAGTCAATCTGTCCCATGAGCGACACACACCCTCTTTACAGTTTTACAGACACTGGCAGTTAAGGCGAAGAGAGATCTATTCACTTGCCCAGGGTCTCACAGCGAGGAGCAAGTCGAGGTTTGAATGACAGGGTCCGATTGGTCCAGCCCCACATCCCCCACACAGGTGCCATGGTTTGTACCCGGTGCCCAGTGCATGGCATTATACAAAAGGATGCTTCTTTCCTGGGCTCCTGAGAATGGCAGCTTCAGCCCACGTGGGCCTGGCCAACCTCCCTCTCCACTGTTCCCCCACCTGGACCACCTGACATTAGCTGCAGGGCTGGAAGCCCTCTGGCACCAACCCTATAAATATTAAACCAGCCA